AGGCCAAAAAACAACAACATGTACCAATATTCCCGTAAAAAAGTCGGTATTAAACCATATACTTCAGTACCTTTATCTCCAGTCAAAAATCGAAAAGTATCTGATTGTAATCTTTTCTGAACAAAAGGGAAATAAAGGATATCAACACAATTTAATACCAGAAAAAAAATATTGACCGAAAGGAATAAGTACTTTAAAATGGTATTATAAATTTTGGAAACACGGGCAGGCATGGGCAACATGAAAAACAGGAAAAAAATACCATTGGTCAGAAATATAGCACTCAAGTCAAATCTAAGTCCATGCCAAAAAATAGGAGATAAATTGGAGACATTTCCTATTTGAAATTCGTCTTTATTGACTAAAATAAAAGCTATCCTAAGTAAGGTGTACATTCCTATCAAAGTAGCTAACAAAATGGTGAAGCTTTTTATTTTTGATAGGAAGAATGCCATTGCCTGAATGATGAGTTACGAAGTAAGGGACAAAGATATAAAAATTAGCAATAAAATAATTTGAACTTAACATTTAGGACATACAGTTCTTTATTTGTGGGTATAATTACCATACTTTTCACAAATTATCAAGCCAACATGTTGAATATCAGAAATAAATTGAGATTTTTTCTTACCTTTGCCGCCTGAATTAATATATCCATGTCCCAGATAGTAGCCATAGTCGGCAGACCCAACGTAGGAAAATCCACTTTATTCAATAGATTAATAGGTGAGCGCAAGGCCATCATTGATGATATCAGCGGTGTCACAAGAGACCGTATTTATGGCTTTTCTGATTGGAATGGCAAAAATTTTACTGTCGTAGACACAGGAGGATTTGTCAAAGGATCAGATGATATTTTTGAGGCAGCCATCAGAAGACAAGTACAGATAGCCATAGAAGAGGCAGCTGCCATCATTTTTTTGGTCGATGTGACCACAGGAATTACAGACCTTGATGAGGAGATCGCTAGAATGTTGCGTAAAAATCCCAAAAGAGTCATTCTTGCTGTCAATAAAGTGGACAATGCCCAAAGACAGATGTTGGCCAATGAATTTTGGTCTTTAGGATTTGATGACACTATCTTTATTTCTTCCATATCAGGAGGCGGTACGGGTGACTTACTTGATGTAGTGGCTGATATTCTTCCTGAAAATGTCAGTGACGAAGCCAATACTCAAGACGATACCATTCCAAAAATTGCCATCGTAGGACAGCCGAATGTAGGTAAATCATCGCTTACCAATGCATTGATGGGCGAAGAAAGGAATATTGTGACAGATATACCTGGTACGACTCGAGATTCTATTTATACTTTATATAATAAGTTTGACAAAGAGTTTTATTTAATTGATACTGCCGGTATTAGGAAAAAAGCGAAAGTCCATGAAGATCTTGAGTTTTATTCCGTCATCAGAGCCATCAAATCAATAGAAGAAGCAGATGTTTGTCTATTGATGCTAGATGCGACAGTAGGATTGGAGTCTCAAGATTTGACCATTTTGGGATTGATCCAAAAACGTAAAAAAGGATTAGTTATCTTGGTCAATAAATGGGATCTTGTCCAAAAGGAAACCAATACAGCGAGAGATTTTGAAAAAAATCTAAAAGAAAAAATCGCACCTTTTAATGATGTGCCCATCTTGTTTACATCAGTACATGAGAAACAAAGGATCTTTAAAACGATTGAGCTTGCTCTCGAAGTCAATGCCAATAGAATACAAAAGATCAAAACATCTGTGCTCAATGACATCATGCTTGAGATTATCGAACGGACACCACCACCAGCACACAGAGGTAAGTATATCAAGATAAAATACGTGACACAATTGCCGCTTTACTATCCTGCATTTGTATTCTACTGTAACTATCCAGACCATGTGAAACCGAGTTACAAGAATTTCCTTGAGAACCAACTCCGCAAGCACTTTAATTTTGCGGGTGTTTCTATCAGCATATTCTTCAGAGAAAAATAAGACATCATGAGCTGGACAAAAACAAATTTTGAAGGAGTATGGATTTTTGAACCTAAGATCTGGAATGATCAAAGAGGTTATTTTATAGAATCTTTTAATGCAGATGGATTGCCAGAAGAATTAAAATCCATCCAATTTGTGCAAGATAATGA